GCTTTAACAAGGCTTTAATAAGCTAAACAATAGAGGTACATGAGAAAACGTGTTCATAACGAACAAAAATAAATAAATACCGGTAATGAAACTGTGTCCATGCCGGTCTCCAACCCTGGTCTCCTGCTCTCTGGTCCAACACTCTACCCATTGCCCTATTGAAGGCTTGTTGTGTAATGAGCTGCGCATTGCACAACAACACGGTGACGTCTTTTTATACTGAGGAGGTGGAGTCTCTCCCGGGGGTTGCTAGGTAAGGGGCTGAATGCAGGTTCTGGTGGGTTGTCGTACGGCTTGTGACATCACAAAATGACGGAAGTATAAAACTTGTCATTAATATACATTAAAAATACATTTACTTAAAGTAAATATGCCCCTGGGTTCATTTTCTTTGGTCCTAGGACTGTTTTTTTAAGAAGCACATACCCAAAGTTGAGTAAAAAAACCTTTAAAAAGTGAATTTTGCATAATAGGTCCCCTTTAAAGATGTGGTTGGTTGACAAAAGTGAATACAATGGTAAGAAAAAGGATTAATAAAAACTGAATACCATACCAGCTGTTCAGACTTGACACAGAAGAGTTGGATGGTTTTGGCAGCGTTCTTGGCCACAGCAAGAGAGAGGTTTGGATCTACCAACGCTACATTCAGTTCACTTTAAAGAAACCCAAAAAGATAAATGTTTAAAACACTGGAACCTTTTTACTGACCGATAAAACAATGTAGCTGTTTTCCCTATTATTAATGAATTATTTACTAGAAGTATGTGAAAGCTAAGAAACAAATACCATTCAAACAATTCAGTGTTTTGGCAATTCAGGTCTACAAAAATTTAACACCAGCTTAAAGCCAACAGAATCCCTGAAAGTTTAAATATTTCCTTCAACTGGGCAACTTAAAAGCGTAATTTATTTCTACGTWCAAAATTCTGAGCTAAATGTAAAGTGTGCTGTCAGACTGGCATGTTATGTACTCACCTGCTGATGGTCTTAATGATACTCTCGAGCTCATCGTTGGAGGGTGGGTTGCGACCTCCCATGGGAAATACAAGGTTGATGGGATCAAACAGGCGGGACAGGGACTTGGAGAGGTAGGCTGCCTCGTATGGCTGAAGAGAGTCTTTCAGAGCCTTCTCTGGGCTACAGACACACACCAGAGTTACATCAAATGGACACATACATTCTGTACTTCAGAGCAGTGGTGGGCACCAGTCCGTTAAAGAGCAAATCCACTAATTGCGGACCTAAATATTTCGTTTGCACTTTAGCGGTCTTACTAGTTTTTATAATTCGTAAGCGGATTTACGCTTTCTAAAATTAAAATGCAGTACCACTAAGAACTAATTGTCTACTAGTTGTCATTATCTTGAACAGCAGAAGGTACTGTATGGCTGTCAATGAATCACAACACGTGATCTGTCCAACAGTACCCCTCACAGATAAACACACTTATTGGAAACATATACATCCTTCCTGACTGTTGCTCTTGGTCAGGGTTCTCATTTCCCACAATGCTTTGTGTCTGCTTACGTAGCAGGAAGGCAATTTTTAGTACTCCCTTTCCCAGCAAAAACAGTAAACATTTGTAATCCATACTAAAATTTTGTATGTATTGATTTATTTTACTTTGCAATCAGAGCTCCTTTTTTTAAAAATAAAGTTTAAACGCTGGAGTTCAATACTTGACGTAATTGGTCGAAGCAATCTGCCCATGGGGTTAGACAGACATCTAGTGGTCAACTGGAGCAACTACATGGAAAACTTTTGTTTCCCGTCACAAATCAAATCCGTCATGTACCCAGAATGCATCGCTTCAGTTTTCCAATAAACAGTTATAAAATTGCTTTATAAGATAAGATAAGATAAGATAAGATAAGATAAGATAAGATAAGATAAGATAAGATAAGATAAGATAA